ATCAGACAATTTATCTTACTGTCACATAAGATTAACTTGAACAACATTTTGTATGAATCTTTGCCTTCTTCGTATATTTTATATATATTTTTAATTTCATTGAACTTAAAATTATTTGAAATGCATTTCTAAAATGTTCTCGAAAGGTTTCTAAAAGGAAGAATAACTATTTATTCTCATGTTTGTTACGGAAAGGAGATGAAAAGATGTCAAGAAAAAATCAAAGAAGAGAAGCCGCTCTTAGTGATAAGCGACATACATTCATCTCTACTTTTATTGGCTGGAGGCTTATAAGCGAATTCGGAATAAGGCTCATTGAGCTATTTTAGTCAGAGAAGAAAAATTTATTTATTTTGATTTGAAACTATTGCAATTAGATCTTTTTTTTTTCATTAATTTGAATAAAAATATTATTTAAAAATATATTCACGTCATTGAAATTATCATCATGAAAGAATAGACTGTAGCATAGCTAATAATTTAATATAAATTTTTTTCCGAATACAACATGAACACTTCTTGTACAGTTTCATTTTCTCTCAATGATGACCTTCATTTGTTCATTGCTCTACTTAGAAGAATATAAATAACTGGCATTATAATCTTATGTTTTTTTATACGTTTCATTAATTCAAATAATTTCAATCATTTGTTAAGAAATAATTAGCACTTTTCACGTCCATCACGATATGACAAGTATGTAAGAAAAATCTTTTAGAGTAAAACCTTTCTTTACATATCTTTTATTGAATTATCCTATCCGGGAATTACATTTACGTACGATTTATATATTCTTGTTGTCGGAAATAAATTTTATATTGATACTCAAAAGATGATAAAACGTGTTCAAAAGAAAAACAATAGCACATTGAATATATCTTACCACTTAATTCAGCATTAGGTCTTTTTTGTAAATCAGTAAATTCTTCTGGATATGTGTCCAACCAATTCCAAATAGCCTGAAAAATAATATACGTTTTATTGACTGTTAAATTTAACAATAATATATTTTTACTTTTTCAACACTTTTTACTAATTCTGTATGATGAAATTTTTTAAGTAATCTCCATTTCTGAACTTCCTCTGAAAGAAAACAATAATTTATTTTTAATGAAGACATTGCCATTGAACAAGAGTATTTTACCATTGAGAAGTCTTGTTAATTTAAGCATATCTACATTCATATGTTGAATAAGATCAAGATCACCGGCTTCACACGTTTCATCACCAGATACAATCAAGCACTCCAGTCTGAAAATTCATTAAAAAAAACTCATAATAATGAAGTAAAAATCAGTCGGAATAAGTGTTAGTGTTAATCTAGTAGCAAAATTTTCATTCATAAACTCATATTTTTACCTGTATTAAAACTAAATTCTTTTCTAAATGTGAATTCATCATTTTATACAATTTACAAAAGGCGCATAAAATATAACAATTACCTTGAAACAACTTTACTAAACAGTGTACCAAAATTGTTCACGCTCAATGCAAATAATACATTCGAAGCTAATTGCCGAACTTGTTGAACTGTTATTCCATCACCGGGGACATTCAAAAGCTATATAAAAAGATATAGATAATAGATAATTCCTGTAAACATGTTTCTCGTATTACTTTACAAACGACGGGCAGTAATTTATTAACATATATGGCTTCATCCAAGCGACTAGTACTTAAATCTTTTGTCTAGATCAGAAAAACAAATTCATATATTTATACTAAGTAACAAAAAATGAATTTACATTTGCTAAACATTGTTCAACAGCATCAAGTACAATTAAATATGATTCATAAATATTCTTTTCTTGATCATATCCACCAAATCTCTGCAAGTAAAATTGAATAAGAACTGAAATCTCGAAAGAAGAAACTATATTTATACAGTATTGTCAATTGTTTTTAAGATATCCGTTAATCCATTAATAACGAGTGAGAATTTAAATCGACTTAATGCGATAAGGCATTCTTTGTTTTGTTCTAAATTTGACCGCATAGGATTTGTTAATTCTCCACATTTGATTGGTAACTAGAAATAATAGAAGAAAAAAATTAATAATATAAATAATTTCTTGTTTTCAAATTTTTACTTGATCTTCAAATCGTTGAATTAGTGCTGTCACCCATTCGACTGGTTTCGAAGTCGACATGCTTTATTGAATGCAAAGCAAAATCGATTATAAGAAGAACCTCTTCGATAACATGTGCCCAAAAGAAGCCTGGGCACGTACTACTTTGACGTCAATAATCAAAAGCGACACAATAATAGAGGACTTGTTCCAGCCAATGAAAAATAAACTTCTTATTTTTTTTTCTTTCTTTCTTTTATTCTGTTTTTCTCCAAAGATGCTTGTGAATAGCTCCGTTTGTCCTGGAGCTCAACCTAAGCGTTGCCTTAGACGAAGGAAATTATTGTGTCAAGTAACAAATCTTACTTGTCGGATCCATCAGAGTTCGACTTCTAATTAAATTTTAACTCAACAGATTTTAATATCTTGTGTAGAAAATGACTATACATCGATATCAATTTCTAAAAAGTCAAAATGAAATGAGCTTGATCAAGTGGTAGATCTTATTAACAAAAGCTGATAATCATTCAACAAAATATGAAGCACTTACAGAGTTGTTTAGTAATCAAGCAGTAAAATCGGAATAAAATATTGATTTTTTTTCATAAATTAAGTAAGACAGGTACAACACAGATCGTTGTTGATAATCACGGAGAAAAATAAAACTAATTTAAAACTTCAAAAACAAAAAATTTAAATCACAAGTAGTAATTAAATGAACGACAAGCAGAATACTACTTTTTTTGATTGAATAACGCATTCTTGAAATCATAATAGTTTGTATTATTTATTCTTTACATGGCTTCTATTGGTTTTAATCAAGTTCATATAAGATTAATTCACTTATTAGTATTTCAATGAACTTTTTAGTCTTTTAAAAGATATTTTAGTCTCAATAGGTTTGAAAGAACCTATTCAAGTTTTATCAAAAAAGCATTTGCTTGATGTTATATTACAATCATGTCGCTGAAATAAACAATCAAGTATCGAATACATCAACATCATTTTTATTAACTAATAAGAGGTTTATGATTTCGAACAAATTGAAACTATTGTAAAAGTAGAAAAAAAAGATATTTGCTCTATAAGATAAACTGAAGGCCTATAAACTTTTTTTTCTATATTGGTTTTTAACATTATTTTTTTGCATACTTTCCTAGAATTGGCCAATTGTAATGAATTTTTGAGAAAGATTTTAGGGTGAACTTAGATATGTTTTTTTTTAAAGAAAATTATTAATATGAGTGTTTGGATGTGAAAGATGATTATAAGTATGAACAAAAATAACATAATTAATGTAAATTATATTGAAAAATACTTGCTATGAATATTTGAATTTATATTAATATCACATCTCATGAAGATAAAAAACAATTATATTGAATTTATTAAAAAGATATTAGACTTCTAATTAAACAACAAGCGAAATAGTTTGCAAATAATATACTGATTTCAATGAAATTGAATGTTAATATTCTACAAGTAAATAAATGTGTGAAGTTTTTTATTATAGATTTCTGAAATAAACATTATTTTATTTATGTAGTACTACTCATTTTCCATCACTTTTTATAATCTAATAAACTGTATTGATAGTTTTACTTGCAGAGGATGATGTTTAATCAAAATGTTAAGACTTATTTTTTCACTATTAATAATTTTATTCTCCTATGTCGATTTGTGTTGTACTATTAAATCAAAGCGTAATCCGCATAGTACTAAAAGTTTAAGTTCATTTGGTTTCATTACTTTGATTATACTAATTCAAAATATATGACGTAAAATATCTTTGCTAGACTATGGTTACTGTCTAACGAAATCCTATAGGTAGATAAATAATCGGCTTTCTGCATTGTTCTGTTTGAAGAGAATTATTTTTTCTTTTTTTTTTTTAACATGATCTAGTTTTGTTCACCTTAGCGCTATTCTCTCTATGATTTCTTTTCCTTCCCTTTTCCTTACTTCATTACTATTCAAGTTGACTGACTCCACGAAGTACAACATTTGACTTGAATCGATCAACACGTTCAGATATGAACGACGATGAAAACCTTTTTCTAATTTGAATTGGTTTGTTCGACTAGTATTTTTACATATTTTATCTGATGTTCGAACTGAAAGCTGAAGCATCTCTAGCTATCCTGGCTAATTCTTGTTCTTAAAATCAACGAACGTTATACGATTCAAGTTAAAAGCTAATTTGTAATGGAAAAAAAAGAACTTCGGCAAATCATCATGATGGAGTGAATTAAAATTTGAAGTTTCGTCTTCAAAATTCGACCACACTTAAAATATGCAAACGTACAGAAAACGATTATTACTAGCTAATAGTTTCTTGATACGATAATGTATTATAATTGGATCTTAGAGCTACTATTTACATCATACATTTTTATAATTATGCATATATATATTTTAATCATCACGATGTTTGACTTTAAAACATCAGTGACCAAATTAAAAAAAGGGTTTGCGAAATTTTTTCTATAACTCACATCAATTAAATAACACAGAGATTTATAATCAATAGGTGCGAAAATAAAAATTGAGAAATTATTCTTACATTGACAATGAACATGCATAGGGGAATGCAATCATATTGCTCAAAGAAAACTAAAAGAGAATAACTATTTATTTTAAAAATTCAATTACAAAATTACATGGTAGCATTGGTTCATTCTAGTGCATTAACAAAATAACGACTACTGATATTGCTATATATAACTAAAATAGACAAAGAAATTTTCATCCAATTGAATATGATCCGTGTATCGTATTGATAATTTTGATTTCTGTTATAAGTTATTAAACAAAAATATTATCACAGGAATAGTTTATACCAATTTTTGGAGTGTTCAAGCATATCTACAAGTTCCACCTTTTCTCATGTCGGATAATACACCGTCCTTGTGCTTATAATCTTTTTTTGTTCTTCTTTTATTTCATTTGACCTTTTAAATTTTTTATCGCAAATGATCTCGTCTGTTTGAAAGCTCGTTATGCACTAATTTAGAACAGATACGAACAAAGGCTTAAAAAAGATGACGTATAGCCATGGCTGAGTGACAAAACGCTTATAGCCATTATTGATAATACCGGAGCAAGAAATATCATGTTCAATAGATGCAAATGTGTGATCATATATATAAACCAACATTGCTCTACAGTGTGACATATTATCTAATGATGAAGAAATCATCGTCAGTATTTACAATACTTACAATAACATGCATGCAAAAGTCTTTGCAATAATGTCAAACGCTGTTACGCCGTGTTGAAGACTTCTAATTCAACTGACTTTTTTCTTGTTGGAGAGAACAGTGTCTGAACTTCAAATTTTGTACCAAACATATTTTTCTGGGACGAATCTGGAAATGAGGAAAAGCCAAAAACTAAACGCATGAAAAAAGTTCTTGCAACTTCACCATCCAGCAGTATCATTTTCTATTTCTATTGGATTCTTTTAAAGTGAAAAAGACAATGAATAAATCACGATCAACGATGATTTTTGTAGCATAGAGGATGCTCTTTCCAATGATGCATTGAAAGTTAAATTGAGTTTTAGTTATTGTACTGAAATAATGCTTTTTTCGAGACATACTGACAAATTTGGTCGTTCTCACAATGTGACCATTTTGAAACTACAAAAGATATTTGTTAAGTTATTTTTGCTGTTAAGTTTCTAAGGGTTTGATGTATTTTGCATAAATAAAGCGAAAAAATAGAGTTCATACATGGCTCCTGGTGGATATTCTTGAAAATTGATAGTTTTTTTCAATGAGTGTTTTTTTATTATAAAACTTTCGTTTTTCAATTTTTTTTATGACCGAGTCAAGAATGAATCTAAAAATCTTCCACAAGCTGGTATCGATAGAGTTTTTGAAACTCTACATTTTGGTGTATCATTTGTTAAAATTCTACTCATGCAGTCTAAGATATTTCTGAAATGCCAATTTTTCCAGGTTGCAAGAACTTTTATCATGCGTTTAGTTTTTGGCTTTTCCTCATTTCCAGATTCGTCCCAGAAAAATATGTTTGGCACAAAATTTGAAGTTCAGACACTGCTCTTTCCAAGAAGAAAAAAAGTCAGTTGAATTAGAAGTCTCCAACATGGTCTAACAGCGTTTGGCATTATTGCAAAGACTTGTGCACCGCATGTTAATCTGTTGTAAATAGTTATCAATTGTAGCTATTCTCCGGCAGTAGATGGCTAAGTCTTTAAAGAAACAAAACTGAAAGCATTTTAATCTGTTCTCTTTATATGTGAACTTATTATATTGAATCAAGTAGTTGTCGAAAACTTGATCGAACGTATACATTCGGTTAATATCGTTGCAAAATAGCAGCAATAAAATATGAAACTCAAAGCATTCTTCATAAACAATATATATATATATCTCCCTCTTGATAGTTTATGACCTTTTTTAAATTTATACGTAGTATTTCGAAGTTTTATCATTATTTCAATTGTTTGTCATGAAAAATCCTGCCTCTTTCATTATATCAACCCCTCTTAAAAAAATCAATTTTTTTTGTAATTTTGCAGCTGTTTATTAAGATCAAATTTCTAGAAAATAATAATTCATCGCGAGGAAATACGATAAATTATGATTTATTTAGCAAAAATCTTTTGGAATAATACTTAAATTTTTTTGTTCTTATTTTTGGCATTTGTTTCTAATCAATCAAAGAGATTTATTTTTCATCGTAGCTATAGAGACACATAAGTCTTGGTGAGTTAAAATAAAAGTTTTAATTTTAATGTACATCAAACGAATATTAACTTTGATGCAATATTTTATCCTATTGTTCACGATTAAAACTTTAGAGATTAAATACAAATACTTTCCTTGGCTAATATTGATTTATTTAAGGGCTTCTATTTGGTTAGGCATAGAAGAAATAAATGTTAAACGATACAAGAGTATTCGATAGTGATTGCATTAAATTGTAAAAACAGTTTTTTGAAATATAAAAAATGCTAGTTGTATGAAATTATTTGATTTAATCTTCACACAAATCAGTTTTGATTATTTAATTCTTACGCTGATGATCTATAATGTTTTCTAACAAACATTTAAGTATGTATGTTGAATAAAAATAAATTTCTTCTAGAATGTGCATTACTCGTATAGAGATTTATTTTTCGCAGTCGATATTATAGTTGAAACAATTTCTTCTATAGTTATTAACTTTTATAAATAAAACAAAATAAAACTAGGAAGTAATTCAAATTAGAAAAGAACATCAAACATAACAATAACTAAATTCTTTTACTCCTATAATATGATGCAAACATACTGTCAAACGTTCGGTGATTGAATCAAAATAATAATAAAAACTAAAGGCTTCATACTTCGCATCACAGAAATAGATCTATAAAGATAAGAACAGAACAGAACACAAACATATTTTAGAGATATTCTTGTCTATCTACTCTTGGGCATGAAAAGACAAAAAAAAGAAACTGATATCAGGATGTCAACTTTGCTATATGAAAGTCATAAAACAATTCAAAATTTCAAATATAACACAGAGAAATAAACTAGATCAACATTCTATATCTTTAAAAAGAAAACATTTACAACCTAGAAGATCTCTCATTAGTTCCTTAAATCAATGATTGTTGTTGTTGTTGCGCTTTCCGATGTATGTAAGCATAAGAGACTTTTTAAATAGTTTCATTGTAGCAGAGTGAACATTTTATTAATTATAACAGAGGATAAATCATTAGTATGGTATGCAACTACATGGTTTTTTCATACTCATCAAAATATTTTCTGTTGTTATGGACTATCGCTCATGAATTAGAGTCTATAAATAGAATGAATTAAATTAATTCTATTTTCTATCAAAGACTTTTTCTTCTTTCTAGGGACGCGCGCACACTGATACGCAGCAGCTTTTCATCATCTCTCTATTTAAATAGTCTTACGTATTAAACATACTTGCATACATTTTCTTTTAACAAAGAACTAATGCATTCATTATACAGGTACAATTGAATGTGATGTAGGGTCTTATCCAATATTTCAGTACATTTGTTATTTTATATTTCAATGTTGAAGTCATACTTCATCAATTTTTATTCTATAATATTCAATTTTCATTAGAAACATTTTATAGAAAGGCAATTGAACACTTCAAGCTGTTTGAAAAATCAAACATAAAATTCATAGAGAAAGCAACTAATATTTTACGAAGATAAGAGTGATAGTAGAGGTCATCAGATAGAAAAAAAAATTCTATTTTTACATGAGATTCTCGTTGTATAGTATATTGTCATTTCTCAACTGATGATTAATTAACATAATTAGGAATTTCTAAGTTATCTAAGATGTTTATTGTGTCAGTGGAATAATGTAACAAAGACTTGAACAGAAAAAAGAATAATTGCTACCTATTAACTCTGCCAAAGTGAGTTAAAATATTGTAAGTTTAGTTTTCCTTTAAAAAGCAATTTTTGCATAAAAATAACGATTTTTTTCGAAAAATTTTGTTGAAAACTTTCGGTGATTACGTTTTAGTTAGAAAATAATTTACTCTGATATTAATTGACTGATTAGCATTTGCAGTTATCGTAATAGTGTCTGACATTGACTAATTAATAAGAAACAAATTGGTTCATCAATATCATCTTCAATTGATTGTTCTAGATTAGCATTTGAAAATAATAAATATGCAAAGAATATTTTGTTTCAACAAAAACAAAATTGCAAGTAAATTTTGATCTCATCATATAATACAGCACAACTAATTATAAAAGTTCCCGTTTATATTTTTAGCAGCTAATCGAACAATAAAAGCCAATGATTCTAAATATAATGCATCGAACAAATTTGCAGTAAGATAACAATGTAAAAAAATAATTCATTTCGATATTTTTATTTATTTTAAAGAAAAATATAATTTCAACAACAAAATATAATATAATAACATTTTTGCCAAAAAATCTTTTTGAACAATTTCGTCGACTGGCAAATGCTTTCTTTCTATTTCTTCTTATTTTATTATTCATTCCACAAATTAGTTCACTGCAACCAATTACTACTTTGTTATCACTTGTTTTCGTCCTTGTAGTGACAGCAATCAAAGATGCTGTCGATGATATTGTTTGTTTTGTTTTTCATACAGACTTTTGATTTATACTATGTATTTCTTTCTAGGCAAGATATCGAAGTGATAGACAATTTAATAATCGTCGAAGTGATGTTTTAATTGATAAACAACTTGTTAGAATATATTGGAGAGAAATAAAAGTCGGTGATATTATACGAATTCATAATAATGATTTTATTCCTGTAAAAATACTTTGAATTATTACTTTATTTAATAAATTTAATATTATTAAGGCTGATATGGTATTAATTTCAACGAGTGAACCAAGCGGATTATGTTTAATTGAGACAGCAGATTTAGACGGGTAATATAATTCAAGAATTTAGAACCAAAACAAAAATAGAAAAGAACTTTTTAATTTTTAGTGAGACAAATCTCAAATCTCGAGAAGCACTGGAAGCAACAATTGATCTTCAAGACGATTTAGAAAATTTATCGAAATTTGATGGTAAAAAGAACAATTAAAATGATATTAGTCATTCTCGATTTTCGTTTAAAGCTAAAATCGAATGTGAACCACCGAATAATAATTTTCTTCGATTTGAAGGCACTTTAACATGGAATCAACATATATATTCATTAAAAAATGAGAACTTTTTATTACGTGGAACTCGATTAAGAAATACACAATGGGCTTTTGCAAGTAAGTAAATTCTTTCGAAATAAAGTAGCTACTATGTATTTTATGTGATATTGTCGACATATATGTAGGCGTTTACAGTTCAAAAATGTTTCGTTCTTATGCAACTTGTTTTTCTACTTGTAGTTGTTTGCTATGCTGGTCGAGATACAAAACTGATGCAAAATAGTGATAAACCAAAATTTAAACGAACAAAAATTGATCTTTGGCTAAATAAAATAATCTTAGGAGTAAAATATTTTATATTAACGTTTTAATTTTCAGCAGATTTTTGTGTTTTTATTTCTAATGTGTTCAATCATGGCGATTTGTTGTGGATTTTGGGAATATAATGTTGGTTCTAAATTTCGAGTTTATTTATCTTGGGATAGTATTATTTCATCAGATTTACGTACTGGTGCTCTTCAAATGGGTGCACTGGTCTTTTTTTCCTATATTATTTTATTAAATACTCTAGTACCAATATCACTTTATATTAGTATTGAATTTATTCGTCTTTTACAATCAAAATGGATCGATTGGGATAACAATATGTATTATGAGCCAAATAATGTACAAGCTCAAGCACGTACAGCATCACTTAATGAAGAATTAGGTCAAGTCGAACATATCTTCTCAGATAAAACAGGAACATTAACGCAGGTATTTTAATCAAAAAAAAATTTAATGGAGTAATAATTTCATATAGAAATTAAAAAGATATAATCTTTGAATTTGTTTCTTCTACTACTATCATTATTACTTTATAACTTCTCTCAAAAATGATCTAGTAAAGTTTATATATACATATAATTTCTTAATTTCAATCCTAATATTTTTAGAAGTTTCATGCCTAGAAAATACTATTTTTCAGTATTTTCTTCAATGAAAATACCCCAAAAGACTAATTTACTCAAAAGCTTAAGTTTTAAATTGTTGAATTTTGTATTTATTCAGACAAATCTATATTATTTGTTTGTTCTGTGTAAAATAGATTCTCATCTTTTTATAGTTTCTAATCATTACTTGAAAATATTTAAAAAAATCAATAAAATACTATCAGATGCATCTAACTCCTCTTAAACATTGTTCTGAGAAAATATCCTTTTTTGATTTAAATTAAACTTTTCTTGTTCGTATTAATTTTGTGAATAAGAAATTTATTTTATTTTTAGAATATGATGACATTCAAGAAATGTTCTATTCAAGGTACATTATATGGAGATATACCCAATGAAAATGAATACAATAAACAAACGACTGATGAATTACGAGCAATTAAATTTGAAGAACAAGATAATACTTTTGTTTGGTATGACAAAACACTCATTGACATTATCAAGAAAAATGAAGACAAGAATGTAAATCATTTCTTTACACTTTTGGCATTATGTCATACAGTTATGACTGAAGAAAAAAATGATAAAATTACCTATCAAGCTCAATCACCGGATGAAAACGCATTAGTAACAGCTGCACGCATGTTTGGTTTCGTTTTTCTTGTGAGTCTATTTGGTCAGATAATTCTTAAACTTTTGTTGATGATCTATTTAGAGTCGTACTCAGAGTAGTATCAAAGTACGTTTTCGAAATAAAATCGAAACCTATGATTTATTAAATATTCTCGATTTTAATAATTATAGAAAGCGTATGTCGGTAAGTATTTATTTTCTTGATTATTAATTTCATACTTATACTTCGTTTTAGGTTATAGTGAGAAAACGTGGACATATTATTTTGTACTGTAAAGGTGCCGATTCAACAGTCAAGGAAAGATTAGATCCATCAGAAGAAAAAATGATGGCACAAACAGATGATCATTTACATGTTTGTATCCAATTCATTTGTTTGACTATTTACAGTTTGTATGGTTTAGCAAGTAGCTAGTGAAGGTCTTCGTACATTATGTTTGGCATGGAAGGAATTAACTGAAAGCGATTATCAGACATGGGCGAAAAAGTTAAAAGGAGCAAAGTAAGTAAAATTCATTATGGTTGGAAATATTTCGTTTTATTTTTAATTATTAAGCACCAGTATGCAAAACCGTGAAGAACAAATCGATGCATTATATGAAGAAATTGAAACAAATATGAGATTACTTGGCATGACTGCAATAGAAGATAAACTTCAAGATGGTGTACCTCAATGTATAGAAAGATTAACAGACGCTGGAATCAAAATTTGGATGTTAACTGGTGATAAAACTGGTAGGAGTTATATTTGAATAGAATTATTTCTTTAAATTTATACTTTAGAAACTGCGGAGAATATTGGTTTTTCTTGTCGACTTTTAACAAATGATATGATAATAAAAAGAATCGATGTTGAAACAAAAGAAGATGCAATTGTTGCGTTAGATAAATTTCGTATTGAATTAATCGAAAAAATTGAACAATTATTTAGTATTCGTATTGATGATAGAAATAGAAGACTTACGTGGAATAATTTAGGCATTGATGAACATAAATTCAATAGAAATACAGATAATCAAGTTAATATACAAAATTTTCAAGGCTTTAGTTTAATAATAACAGGAACAGCATTAATTCATACATTATCAGATGAATTAAAAATGAAATTTCTCGAACTTTCTGCTATGTGTAAAACAGTTATTTGTTGCCGAGTGACACCTTTACAAAAGTCACAAGTGGTTGATTTAGTTATTAAATATGATAAAATAATTGCATTAGCTATTGGAGATGGGGCTAATGATGTTTCTATGATACAAAGTGAGTTTCAATTGATATTAGTAGTTAAAGACAGAAAATTCTTTTGTTTATCTATACAGAAGCACATATTGGTGTTGGAATTAGTGGACAAGAAGGTCGACAAGCAGTTTTAGCAAGTGATTATAGTATTGGTCAATTTAGATATCTTGAAAGATTATTACTCGTTCATGGCCGATGGTCGTACATACGTATATCAAAGTTTTTAAGTTATTTTTTCTATAAAAATTTTGCATTTACATTTTGTCAATTTTGGTTTGCTTTGTACTGCGGTTTTTCAGCTCAAGTAAGATTTTTATTTCAACGAAAATATATCATGTATTTGATTTTAAATAGACCATATTTGATGCATTCTTTGTCACTTGTTATAATATATTTTTTACAACTTGTCCGGTTTTGGTATTAGGCGTTCTTGATCAAGTGCGTTAGAGTATCTTTCTTTTCAAGTATTAATGAAACAGTCTAACGAATTTATAGGATGTAAGCGCAAATCATTCGATCAGTAGACCTTATTTGTAAGTTAATGACATTTATTTGCTTTTCTTTTCAAAATCTAATATTTTCAATAAGCGAATGCACCACTAAATAATGCTTATTTAATTGATGATTTCATTTCAGGTACATAGTTGGTCAAAAAGATAAATTATTTAATAGAAAAGTATTCGTCGAATGTGCCGTACGTGGTCTTATAACATCATGCGTAATTTTCTTCTTTTCTTACTTATGTCTATTACCAAGCAGTCAATCGTCTGGAATAACACTATCTGATTCTCAATCATTTGGTTTTATGGTAGCAACTATTCTAGTAATTGTTGTTAACTTAGAGAATGCTCTTGAAATGTGGTATTGGACAGGCATCTATATTTTTATTTTATTGGGTACAATAGCACTTCATTTCTTGTTTCACTTCATTATGTATTCGACAATGTTACGTGTAACCTTCAAAATAAACTATCCTTATGTTGGTATTTTTCAAATGACATTGAAAAGTGGAACTTTTTGGTTTACTCTTCTACTTATTTGTACCATTCTTCTTTTACCTATTATCGCACGAGAGTAAGCCACTTTCGGATATGTATATGATATTAATGTTAAGTATAATTTAGATTTTTTCGTATACGTTTTATGCCGAATGATATTGACAAAGCTCGATTAATTCAAAAAACTGGTATTTACCAAAAGCAAGTTGTTAAAAATCAAGCCGATCAAAACTTACGGCAACGAACTCTATCAATTAGATCTACAGGGTACTATTTTATTCTCGTATATTCAGTAAATTAATATTATTATTTTGTTTTTATTCCATCAAGCTCGGGTTATGCATTCTCGCAACAAAAAGGATGGGGTCCATTGATAACTTCTGGTACATTGCGAACAAAGTCAGCAACAAATTCACATGCTCGACAAGATCATGATGACTAAAACTTTATTTTTATTTATCAAGAATCTGCAATAATCATAATTTATTGTAGCAAAAGTATTCATTTTAATAAATTCTTCACTTATTTATCTGACAATAAGAAAAAGACGTCCTAAAATTTGATGCTAACCATCAAAACGTATTATTGATTTTGAATAGGAAAAAAATTATTCAACAGACTTGTGACATGATTCGTCGATTTATAACTGATATACTAATAATATTGCCTACGTAGAATTTCAGCTTTGATCAAAAATAATGTATCATTCAATTTCATATTTATTTTTAATAATATGAAATGGTCTACTCGTTGATTTAGAATGAATAAGTATTAGTAAATTATAACACAACCTTACAATGAGAATATTTCATAGCATGGGGGTATAGCTCAGTGGTAGAGCATTCGACTGCAGATCGAGAGGTCCCTGGTTCAATCCCGGGTGCCCCCTAATCTGCTCTTTTTTTCTTTCTTTTTTTTCGTTCTGTTCTATTCTATCTATCGGCGAGTAACACAAGAAGTAGCAATAGAAAGCTGATGTAGGAGCCTATAGGATGACGTGTACTATAATATATCTTTGTTATATTAATTCCATTTTTTTTGAATGAAGAAAGAGTATATATATATTACAAATTGGAAATGAGATTTTTAAAAATTTGACTTCACTTAGTTTTATTGATCAAAAAAGTAAATTAATTGACTCTTTATATTGTAAAAAAAATATCATAATTTCAATGTCTCATAAATAGCCAATACAGCTTTGTTCTTCTTTTTTTTCCTAATTTCTACAATACATATGTTTATTATTAATAATGTAATCTATCGTATTAGTGATTCATTAATCACTGTAGAAAATAAAAGTATTTAGCTTCTTCCTTCACGAGTTTTCTAAATTGATTTATATGCTTAAGTTAAACTATTAGTAATTTCAATTGTATGAAAAGAAACATAATTGATACAAATTTTGTTCATACTTTTATTTCATTAACGAACTTTGAAAGCGATTTCGACTATGTGAAGTTTATTGAATGAAAATCGATAGAATTTGTAGAACATAAACTCTGTGAATCAGTATGACAGTCAATCTCATTTCTATTCTTAGTTGTTAGACACAATCTAAAGAATTAATTCTTTTTCTTGATCCCAAGAAATTTGAGTGTGTAAGCAGCTTTTTAAGGTACTAGTCTAATGGTTTTAGAATGATGATAGTAAAACGTATCTAGTATGTTTATACCACAAAATATAATACAAATCTATTTATTGTATGATATTCTCAATTTAGATACCATAAAAACCACAGAAAAAAAAACACTTCATCATGATAGCTAGGGCTTTGAGGAAAAGTCTAGCTCATTTGCTTTCAGTTAACGTCTCGTTTAATGTTCGCCGTTTTCTACACAGATTCACGCCGTTGACGAGAACACATGTCAACGATCTATTTCTGTGGAGTGCATTGATAAGATCGTGCACTCCGTTCTGTCCAAATCTGTTACCAGAAAGCGATAGACTGGTTAATGACTGCATCAAAAAATAAATATGCAATGAAAAATAGAGAAAAAACAGTGTCGTGTACCTCATTATCATGCAAAGCATCAGCAAAATATTTTACACCTTTCGGTCCTATATGATTTTGTTGTAGAGAAAGGTTTACAAGTGTCTATAATGAATAAATGAATAATATGGAAATCAATTAAATCAGCATAGAGAATTCAAATAACTGTATTGATTCGTAATGCATTAGCGATATGACTTGCTCCTAAACATCCGATACAATTTTGTTGAAGATCAAGCGTAGTGAGTGTCTAGATTCAAAAGCAATCATCAATTTAAATATTATGGATGTCAGTGGTATCCCTAATGTAGTTCACCTTGTTTTCTCGCAATGCATCAGCAATGTGCTCTGCTCCTTTATCTCCAATTCTATTCCAAGACAGATTCAAAGTGGTGAGTACCTAAACGTAACAGTTAGCTACGATGAGAACTAGTTAAAAATAATGCGGTGACATGACTCACTGTGTTTCTCTTCAATGCTTGGGCTAGATCTTTAAGTCCATTAGTACCAACAAAATTTCGCTGTAAATTCAATGTTTCTAGAGACTACAGAAAATTTGCGTTAAAAAAAGGTGCATAGACAATGACACCATTTTACTGTAATATTGTTCATCATTGTAGCAATATGTTTTACCCCATCATCACTGATTTGATTCGATTCCAGATCAAGTGTAGTAAGCGTCTATATAGAATAATCAATAGGATAAAAGAAGAAATACGCTGAAGAAGATTTGTAACCATATTTTTTTCTAATGCATGGCACAGATACTGTGTGCCTCTATGTCCTATTTGATTATCGCCAAGAATTAATACAGATAGTTCCTAAGAAAAGGTATAAAAACTAGATGGCAGCTAAAAATCAGTTAAAAACAAAACGCTGATGTTACCTTGTTCTGTTGTAACATACTAGCAAGATATTTAATCCCTTTGCTGCTGATTTGATTCTTTGATATATTGAATTCAGATAATGCCTATATAAAATAAATTTGTAGAGATACTCGATGAATTAATCGAAAGATAAAAATTGCTATCAACATCAGGAATGAGCTGCTCCAAAGAAAAGATAGGAATGTATATTTTCCTTTTTAATACCGTAGTCATTCTGGTATGAAATCAAGAAACAGTACAAATCTAATTACTAACGTCTAACTCTGCTGAACATTTATCCATTTTCATGTGTAAAGTACTAACAAAGTTGAAGTTTGCTGTTCAACAGAGTTCTATTCGAATGTTTCAGTTGTTTTCCTATGGAAAATTGTTTTAACGGTTGAAACTTGACTAAATTTGACATAGATTAATTCAAATTGTTTCTATCTAAACATAGTTCTGATGAAAAAAAATAAGACAAACAACATGAACTAATTTTTCTTTTAGCTCAATTAACACGATCGAGTCTATCCCTTTGAAGCTTACAATCTACAGAATCATCTTAAATATGATATACTATTTGATGGATAACACTGACGTAAGATATGTTTTTACCAAGAGAAAATATATGACAAATGATGTGAACAATTCCGATAATCACTAACCGTAATTTCATGATATTTTTCAACCAAAAGTTTTACATCTTGATCATTCAATTGTTGATCACTCAAATCAATCATTTTGGGATTCGTTTGTTGAACCATTATCTTTTCAAGCCGTGAATTTTCGTATGCCAAGGAGTTATCTACCTTTGGGTCGACTGTTCCACATTGAAGAATTTCATCTTTGATTTTAGACAAATTTTCAAGTCCTTGAAGATCATATTGAGTTCTTCTGGGAGCTTTTAATCGACCCAACTCTTTGTGTATTTTGTTTAGATAATCAACTGATCCGTACTCCCTCTGTAAAAGTTGTACATGTTGTCCTTTAGATACGATTTCACAAAACTGTGCTTGTTGGAAATCGAGTGAGTTTTCTATCTTAAGCAGGTGAATTTCATAATCATTCAGTTGTTTGGTATTATCCTTCTCAATTGTCGCAATATTCTCTTTCAATATAGCTTCGTGTTTATTGATGAGTTGATGTAACGATGCGAATGCTTCATGAATTTTATTTTGATTCTTTTCATGAATACGATGAGTTTCAGTAATGAGCTGTTTCGTTTGATTTATTTCATTGTTTAGTGATAATCTAACGTTTCGAAAACCGGCGTCAACCTGAAAGAAAACGATATAAGTTCACAATAAAGTATACAACTGAACCCAAACTTTGCTGACCTGTAATGCTAGATTCTTTGCAACTGCATCAATTGAAGCAAAGCTTGTATCTTTATTTTTAAAGAACAAACAAGTATGACAGATCAATGTATCGCAGTTATGATGACTGAGTGTAATCGTTGAGTTGACTTGATTTTCAGTTTGCATTTTATTTCGTTGACAGTCACGTATCCGATAAATTCAAAGATTTTCTTCGATTTATACGTCTGTTTCAAAGAAAATGGCTATAGTACAACATTAGACTAGAATCTATGTAGGACTGTGCTCATGAAGAATCTGTCTGAGTGTATATCGAAATTATATGAGGAAGAAATGCAAGTAGTTCTGCATTTTCATAGTAATAAGGTGTTGTTCACATGTTGATGTTGAGAAATGAAAAATATACTACTTTATGGAATCATGAATAAGTTTCAAGAACAAAAACTACGCAAAAGATATTGTTTTCAATAAATAACACAACAATAAGTATAATTAGGGTCAAAAAGTTGGACTTAACCGGACTCTAGATAGTACTAGCGTCTAGAAGTTGGACTTTTTAGAAACTTCATCATAGCTTAGAGTTTCTGCAATTTCATTAATTTTAGATTTATTTCATGACATTGGACAGTTTTTTCTTACTAAATAAAACTGTTGATGATCATAGGAACCTTGTTGAGTGGGACTAGAAGCCAAAGTGCGTCATCACTTTAAACACTAAGCTATAATGATCAACTGTTTCGTGATGATGAAACTTCAATGTGCGGCAGACTATGATTTCTTGCATAAAGAGAACAACGCTTTCTTTATATACTCATGGTTTCTGAAGATTTTCGAATTCTTAACTATTTGAATGCTGCATTTCATCACTGCTTGTGTATAATAAGCGTCTTGATGAAATTATTGTTATCTCTTGGAAATTAAAAATCAATTGGTATATGCGTTGGGAAGAAGAGATGCATGAAAAATATCCGGAAAACTGATAAGGCGAAAATCATACATGATCTGTCACTTTAAGTAGTTTCTTACTCATCAACATAGCAAAGATAGAATTAAAGACATTTTGTCTCGATGTAAAGAGTATGTTATTTTGAAAACGTTATCAGAAATTGTTACCGACTCATTTCATCAAAAATCAAAGATAACTGCAAGAGATTATCATAGCACCTCTGGTAGCTTGAGCTTATGACTGCTACCTCAACAAAAGTCTATCATATAAAGGGTGCAATATCTCTAGCATATTTGTTCTAATGATAGGCGAATATTTTAGGTTTTGATTCATGAAAAAGGCATTTATTCTCATGTAAACGAATCTGACAGTCAAATCGCATTTAGCAAATTGAATAATAATTAGTAGCTAAGGTATAGATTCCATCGAATTCCAATACTAGGAATCCAAATGTCCTTTCTCAATTAAAACTGATAGAAATTCATGAGTTTTATAGAAACCTACGTATAATCCGGTCGAATCTTACCATCAGAAGGATTCTTGCGGGTTATTAATGTTGTTAGAAAATATTATTATCTAGTGAAACGAGAAAAAGTCAGAATTTCTATCAAAGATTAATGCTAGCTTTTACATGTTTGTATCACAAAATTTAAATTGTTATGTAAGTCATTTTTTGCAACTTTTTAGAAGAATTTATTTTCATTCGTTGAATTTTCGTTAATCTATCTGACTTTTACATTTTGATTAAGTACTTGTATCGATAATAAATCACACAGACAAAAAAAACATCTGAACATTTTATGTATTCCATTCTATTAAGCATTTTTCACTGATAATGGTTTGTTCAAAGGAGTTTTTAATTTTCATCAATAAATGAACGACAATTTTTTGAGCTAAAGATATTAGAAAAAAATCAAACTGTTCCAGAGTTCTGAATCTGAAACAACGTCATTGTTTCTAGTATTTTTGACCACAGAAGCGTCATTTGTTGATGAAAATATAAAAATATTTACATCGTAATAATCAGTAGGAAAAACTATATATAGCGAAAAGTAATTAGACGCTAATAATACGTAAACAACTAAAAGAATTCAATGATGTATTTATACATACTTACTACCATTTCGACATATTTATTCTTTTTTTCATTTCCCCTCCTTATTTCATAACAACAAAAAGATGTCGCAAGAGTTCTTAGCTTTCCTTTTTTGTGTCATATGTTTCAACATAGCTATTATTTTCTTATTATTATTGAACTATAAAATTCAGATTAATACTATCTACATTCTATTTTATGTATCATTGATCTATTTATTATAGACCTTTGCTGCTTTCTCTAATATCCTTGTCACTACAATGAAATTTCTCTATCCTCTTATTAAAACGTACATAAGTCGTGCAGTCGTTGTATACTAAACCATGTATCTTAAAACAATTAATCGCTTCTTTTCTTTTCTTTTGTCTTTCTGTTTTTATAATATAAGAATGAGAACATAAAATTGCATAATAAACTGAATGGAAAAAAACATTAGAAAGCTATACGAAATCGAATATCTCACAGTAAAATTTGCCAGATCTTTGCGTTTCTTGCCGTTGACTACGAGCGAAAGTATCCATATATATAGCACATTTACTTGAACCACCGCTGGTATACCACCGGTTCTTTGGAGTACTGTAATATATTGTTAGTTATATTACATATATGAATTACTTTCTTGTACTTTTATTTAGATCAATCTTAACATCGTAATCAGGATCGATTATTTATTTATTTATATACATATTTTATAACTTTCATTAAGGTCGATTTCTATTTCGCAATCAAAAGTAGATATTTATTTAGGATCTCTGCGTGTAGTATCACAAATTATTGATGCTTGGAACCATCGAAGTATAAGAATCAGTACATTTGAATCGTGAATCCACCGGTAAAATATGTCAGTACCACCGGTCTTTTCTGGTTCGAGTGGCATATGTACTGAAAAAAAGATGACTTTGTTAACTAAAGTAGATCGTTTTAGAGGTGCAATATGCGAAGAAACTAATAATTTAAGACGATTTGGATCTTTCATTTATTCACTCTAGTGGCGTAACCAGAATTTGCCAAATGGTTGGACAGCACCCTAACGATTTTGTCGAACACATATTCTCCAAGAAAATAGTAAATGTAGGTTTAAAAGCGAGGTTTTCCCGGCTCCCCTTCCCGACACAGACATTAATAACTTCAAAACTTATGCTAATTAGGTGTTAGGCTAATTGTGTTGCTATTTATTATTTTGCATTAAAGACTATGCCAAAAAAAAGCAAGACCAACTCATTACATGCACTAATAGCACAGGACAGGGGCTACCCTTACGGACCTTGTCAACTAGTCTCTATCGTAGTTAGAGATACCAACTAACAAGGAATCTCTATTGCAGACATCCGTAAATAGGTAACGTCCTAATTATAGATTTTAGAAATTAAGATAGAATTTTTCACTTGAAATATTTTGTATTAGTCTAGCAAAGCTAAAGGATATATGTGACTTGCATACTTTAGCTTCAAAGAGGCTGAGTTAACAAGTTTTTTCGTTCAAAAACGACATCGTTGGTGATGCGTATTGTGTCTTTTTTTTACAAAAAGTTAGTCTTTCAAAATGACCGGCAGTTGGGCAGTGCCCAACCATGCCCTACCATGATTACACAACTAACCTACACCTCAACTCCATCAGCGGCTTACTGATCAAAAATTCAACATAGCGAATAACGTGCAATAATAAGTGCTTTTGATGATATGCTTTTTGGATTGAAATACAAAAGAGCAAAAAATTCTTATCGTAGGACTTTTGTCAGCATGCCATTCTATATTGTCTGAAGTTCCGTGACAGCATACTTGAATAAATGAAAATATGATATGAACCGATTGGAAAACTTTCAATAATGCCTTAAGGCCGATTGTGAAAGTGAATATAGGAAATTCACTCTATTCCGTAACACCTAAGTCAACAAAAATGTCATCTCTTTTATTGCAAACATTCTTTTGTCACACATGAAATGTTTTCTAAGAATAACTTGATAAAGCGATTAACACGATCCCTTGATGAGACTAAACAAGTGAAAACATGATATAATGGTAGTTAGAAATAACAGAAGGCATTTAAAAAAATCGATTCAAAGTAGCTTTGCATATTCTCAATATTCTCATTAATTTAGTACGCATAATTTATATCAGTACGTCTCTGTACTTAAAAGTTTTAGCCTATTAACTAATTATGGTTGCTTTCAAGAATTCTAAAAATATACTTCAAACGTCAGCTTCGAACTAGCATTTATTATAAATTCTTACAGGGCATCACCAAGTTGTTCTTGATAAGTCATTATCAATATGTTTATCGCGAGATTTGGTAATTCAAGATTATACTTTCTTGTACTTCATCAGTTCTTTTAGCACATGTTTTACAATTTTACTTTAATCCTTTTTTCAATTAGAAATAATTTTTAATGAAAATCATGCTACATCAAGTCTAACAAATGTTTAGAAATTTCTTGAAACTGCATGGTTTTATTAATTTATATTTTATATAATATATTGGTTTTCTTTTTTATTATTCGAAATTGCGCTTTCTAAAAGAATCGAACATGTAAAAGGTAAGACGACATCCAAATCTTGCATATGAATATAAATAGATAAAATCTTTATAGTTTGATTACAATTTTTTTTTCTTAAAGACTAATTGAAGAGCAATCAAACAATTAGATTGTCTTTTATGTGTTTAGCTAGTTAGTAGTTAGTTATTTTATTGCGTTGTTGAGTTATTAATGAAACAGGAAATACTGTATTTTGTCGAAATAGATTTGATGTTAGGCAATGAATATAAAAGTTGTAACAGTAGTTCATATTTAAAAGAATAGTCAATATTGCTATTTCAATAAGTGTTTTTTCATTAATTTCAGATCGATGATAAACAATCCGATGAATAGAACAAGACAATGCACAAACTGAGAAACATATTATGCTTGAAACCATTAAAATGAACATTTGCTGTTCGAGTCTTTGTTTTCCTCTTGTTCTCAAACAGTTTGCTTGCTGTGCTTGTAAAGGTAATTGATTTATTTACTATTTCAGTAATAAAAAAATAGCTCGCTAGTAAAAAGAAAGAAATATTCCCAAGATGCATTCTGTTGATTTATGTTTACAACGTAATATGCATTGTTAACATTTATCGAACTAAAATTTCCAGAAAAACTGATATACATAATTATATGTTATAGAACCTACTCTACTTCTTTTAAGGAATAACTGCGATGAATGTTGGTTTAGTCAATTAAGATGAAAATAACAATATTGTATATCAGTGTTCTGAAACGAAAATGAATATAATTTATATATGCGTAATTTAAATCACATTTCAACATCCTGGCGTCATTTACTAGCAATAAACGCATCAAGGATAGAATGTCTACAACTATATTGTTTATATAGTTAAGCTAGTCTAGTATCAATAAACTTCTGAAATGACAGAAGATTGTTTTGCAATAGCAGCACATTTACTAGTGATCAACTAGACTTTAATTACATCCTATGGTACACATGTACACGAATCAGAGTAGAGACTCGATATTTTTTGTAAAATAATCACAGAGAAATATTGAAAATTTTATTTACCCACTGAATGATATAAACAATATGAAAATTGATTCGACTGAGATGGTTTCTATTTATAAAAATGCTACCCAAACACAAACACGTATTTAATCGATAATTTCGGATATAAGTTTAATGGTTTTATTTCGGTAAAAATAATACTTTTTGCGTGAATTAGAAAATAAAATGTGAAATCGTGTAGAACAATCTAATCGCTCCACTGATCATAACTGTCTCCTTTAGTATTGTATAAATGATCCGTTGACATATCACTGTCAAATTCTTTTTTCCAAGCATTTATCGTATCATTACAAGAATTTTTCATTTTATTTTCATCAACCGACGGCCATGGTGTATGGTCAATTACATAACCAACAAGACGAATACAATCTGATGCATATTTTAATGGCTCTTGCATATGTGAATGCCAAATAATATCAATCTATTGGTAAAAAAGATTCAATTTTTCATTTAATTCGATAAAAAAGCAACTTACTGCATATGTTGGATGCACAAAACTATATCCATTCGAGGGTGGATATTTAGTTGCCATGTATAAAAATCGTTCATACGATTTCATTAATCTTTTCATAGCTGATGTGCTAAGATCAATTTCATTGGAATCTCGATAATATTCGCGAATCGGAATTTGTGACATCATGTCTTTCATGAACTTTTTACATAAATCCAGCCAATTTCCATCAAGAATAACATCAGCTTCGGTAAATGAAAATGGATTTTCATTGCAATTAACAGATATTTCTGATGAAAATGTAAAATATGTTTCATCCCAATATAAGTAGATTGGAATAATACATTTTAATGAACCAAAAACTGGATGAACAAATTTAGGAGCAATGTTTACATCGTCTTTAGCTTTTGGTAGCGGACAATATTGTTCTCCAAATCGTTCCTCATATAGCTTACAAGTATCGATAAATGCTTGTTCTTTCAAAAATTGTTCAATTTCCGTTGCCAATAATGAATGATCAATAACTTGATGAAATAACCTTAGACAATCTTCTCGATACATTTGTGGTCGTAACAGATGTGTTTGCCAAATAGTTTCAATGTCCAAGGTTGGAATAAGTAGAATATTATTTGGACAAGTAGCTTTAAGTTGCATAAAACGGTAATATCTTGTTATCATCTGTTTTATGATACATGATTGCCGCCATTCAGCTTGAAATTGAGATGCTTTTTCCAATAATGATATGAGTTCACGAGCTGTTCGATCAACATCAACCGATAATTCAATAGATCTTAATGAATAATAGAAAAAAATGTAATCCTTTTGGTGGTTATTATGTTTATTCTATATAATAAATGGTTGAAGTAGCATAATTTTCGACGTATTTTTAAGTTCACTTATGAAATATGTATATGAATAAAATATTTCACAGATTTAAAGTTCTCTTCTTCTGCAATTCAAGTCAATTTTCTCTTACATTTTTTCAGATTCATTTGGATGTTGTCTGAAATCTCCAATGGGTACAAAGTGATGTTCGCCCGCTGGTCGTAGCGGATATTGTGGGGGTCCACATCTCATGCCACAAGCAACACGTGAACTTCGCTCACGATACATAGCTTCAACCTCGTCAAGTTCTGCATTTCTTAGATATTTTTCATACATCCAGTCCATGTAAATCTGTTTAAAAGATTTCGAGTGCAATTTTGTCGATGCTACATCATGATGATCAGAAATTAAATGAAGACGAAAGAAATAAATCAACTTACATTTACATTTTAATTTCCAAATATCGTCTTGATCACAAATCATTTTAAATAAATGACAAACTAATGAAATATTACTTAAATCATGTACTGACAAAAATTTGAATATCTGTAGCATCACTTCAGTAGGCACTAGTTTAAAGTCAGATGCTGTTAATGCATTTTGCATCTCATTGGTTGGCCATGAATGTTCCCATGTCACTAATGGTGGACTACGTTTTTGTATATGAGTTTTTACAGATTCATCTTCTGTCATTTTATTCGCGTGAGCTCTGAAGAATTTCCGCATTACTTGACCTATGATACAAAAGAACTCTTGATTATTCTTATTAAATAGTTTTTTTTTCTGATTTACAAAACAAAAATAAGCATTTTTCGTTAGAAAGATTCGTATGAAGAAAAAAACAACAAAACACAAATAAAAGTGTGCAGTTGAGAGATAAAAAGAATCTGAAGGTTACAAATAGAAATCTGAGAGCCTAGTGTCTCCTGTGAAAATAGAGTTTTACTGTATGACTTAGCTTCAGGATTCGATTTATGGCTTTTACTTCCTCATACAAAGAAAAACAACGCATATTTTTTTATCGTCAAATCATAATCATGCCAAACTTCTCATTTTCCTATGCTTGCTTTCTTTTCTCCTGTTCTATAATGTCGTTCTCTTATTTTTTTTCTCGACGGCAATGTTTTTAGGTTTTCTTCTTTTTCTTCCTGCAAGCATCCAGTTTTTTCAAGGTCAAAATACACGAAGAAATAGTTTATCTTATTCATCGTTTGATTCTCATGATGACTAATTCATTGGAAGTGATTAATGCGAGTTCGTTAGTTAGTGTAGACAAAAATAAATAATGCCGTAAAAAATGATTTTGACTAATTTAATTCAACTTTCTCAAATCACCTTATAAATCATAGCATATGGCTCAGAAGACTTTGCTTTTTCTAATCAACTTTTAAAGCATTATAGTTGCACATGGAGTTGTTGCGATTTTCCAAAAAACCTAGCCTCATTTTCAATGAAAATAGAATTTTAAATGTAATAAGTTAATTACATCTATTTCTATTCATTTAACATGTATAACTTTATGAGAATCAAGTATACTATTGCTTAGTAAAGATAGAAACTTTCAATCCACTTTATATTTTGCACTTCATTCGTTGTTTAATCCTTCATTGATCAATAATAAAGATGATTTAGGATTAGAAATATTTTGACTGCGTATATATCACACATTTCATTTGACAAAAACAAAAAGAAAAAACCACAAGCTATCAGGCGGGTAGAGTACTAATTCGAAAAGCATAAAAATGTTGAGACATTGTTGCATTGTATGAATTAGCTTCAAACTGATAATTATTCATTTTGAGTTTCTAGTTGAAAAATTGGTAAAGTTTTCTTGTCAAAGAACTTCTTTTTTTATATTGTGAATTTTCTGATATTAGACTTAAATAACACGAGAATTTTTATTATTTAGAAAACAAAAAATTCAATTACGTATTAACTACAGTCAATGCAGTTGAATACAAAAACAGTCGTTTTCGTTCGTTTTCTTGTTTTTCTTCTATTCTGTAATGATCTTCTAGTTGACATGGCCGTTGTAGAGTAAGATTTTATTGTTCGAAGTATTCCGTCAAATCCTGATGGTTATCCTAGATCTGTAGTTATTATTCATGATGCTAAATCATCCTGGGATGTTGATCGACCTTTTCCTGGTCCTCTCATTCGAGCAATGTTTGCTGATCGAGTTCGTATTCGTATCACTAATATGTTACGTGATCAATCAACAGCCATTCATTTTCACGATCTTCATATGATTAATAATCCCAGGGCTGATGATACAGCACACATTACTCAATGTCCTATTCATCCCTATGAAAAATTCATCTATGAATTGAATATAACGCAAACAGGAATCTTTTGGTACCATTCGCACAATGCTCAACAGTATGCCGATGGATTAATAGGTCCAATCATACTTGATCATGATATTCTCGAGCAACGATATGACTATGGATCACATGATTATGTTATTATATTGCAAGATTGGTATCATGAGACTTGGAGTGATATCATGACTGCGTACCAAGGCCCCTATGGCGCTTATCAAGACAATAAACCCATCTATCCATGACCTCCAACTTCTTTCTTGATCAATGGACACGGTCGATTCGATTGCCGTACACCAAATTGTTCTAACAATAGTACCTGGAAAGATAACTGTGGTCATGAACAGCCTGTTCAATGTATTCCACTGCGAGCATCATTTTTTGGTTCATGCAAATCTGAAGCACATCCGATTGATGAATTTTTATGTTCACCTCAAAAATCGATACGCTTAAGATTAATCAATGCTGCTAGTGGTATTCCATTTCGTTTCTGGATTGATCAACATAATCTTACGATTGTTGCTAGAGACAGTATTGAGATTGCATCCATTTCTATGTCGCTTGTACACATTGCTTTTGGACAAAGACTTGATTTGATTGTTGACTGCAATCAAGATCTATCTGTGAATTACACTATATTTGTAGCTAGTCGAAATAGCTATCAGCCATCGCTTAATAATATTGGAGCAACACCACCAATGTGAGCAAGAGCATTGCTTACCTATGCAAAATTCAAAATTGTTAGAAGTAAATCTCATTCAATAGAACATGACAAACTCGATTCGAACGATTTGTTTTTCGAATATAAATATCTAAAACCATTTAAACCTCGTGTCGCTCCAGCTGCCATTCGTCGTATTACGCTTGCAAGTGAAGTCCGTTGGAATAATCGTACTGGCATCGATGCTTTAGAAGAATGGTCTGTCAATGGTATTACTTTCGAACCGCCAAACGAACCTTTACTTCTTGCTAATGTTTTCGATGGTACATTCAAACATTGCGTTGCATACCAACGTGCTGGTCGTGTTAACAATAAACATGTTACTCATATCCAGCATCTTGAATATGGTCAAACTTATGAGGTATTGATGATTAACTATGATTCTCAATTGCATCCTTGGCATCTACATGGATATTCAGTTGAGTTTACTGCTGTTGGGAAAATTCCCAATTTAAAATCAGCTAAATGTAATCAAACACAGAAAGATGTTCGCCCATTTAATTATAACACTGTTTTGCTGCCTCTCAACTCAACACTTCCTGTTCTTAGTGTCGGTGATTCATTTACGGTACCCAGTGAAAGTTATGTTGTTTTTCGATTCACTGCAAATAATCCAGGTCCATGGTTTTTACATTGTCACATGGAATGGCATATTTGGCCTGGCATGGCTCTTGTATTTTCTGTAGAAAGAAACGGACGATACGACGGACTCATTCAATCACCGACAACAAGTTTTAGTACATGTGGCAGAAGAACTAAAATATCTTATCAATCATCTAGGCTATTGCTTTCCAATTCGCATAAAACTGAACTATGATATATAAATATACTTATGAATTGGCGTTGCTTATGTTTTTAAACAATAACTAATTATTTTAGCTTTTTTTATTGAAGTTTTCTCTCTTAAAAGTGCACCTTTTATGGTGAATTGTTGTACTAGTTGTTTTAACTAGAGATCTAACAGCCAGAGTACACAACAATACTAATAATTGTGACATCATTCATCTAAGATTTAAAAAGGATTACGACTTTTATCAAGAGTGAACGTGATTAGTGCGATCTTTTTTGTCTTTTCTATTCATGTGTGATAGTGATAGATTTTGTTTTTTTTTTCGTTACTAGCATTTGATACTTGATTAAAAGTACATTATATGTGATTCTTAAAAGGGCTTAAAAATGCAAATAGTTGAATGAAAACCCTTTGAAAACATTTTTCATATTGAATTATAAGTTATCGATGTTTTCTTGACTTTTTTTGTATTCTATCATGTTGATTAATATTTATAGTATTATTAAGAATAATCTTTATTTGATACTTTAACATCAGAATTTCATCGCTCAACTCACCAATAAAAATTTTTAATACGAAGTTTCTCATTGATACGTTCTTTTTTTACGATATTGCGAGCAATATTATCGAGTCTAATCGCACGAAGATAAAAAAAATTAGATTAAGCTACCCGGCTTGGAATATCTTTTCGCTTTTAATGTGTAGCTATTTTTTATTATGTCTATAAGCAATCAATCTGCATTGAAAACGTATTTAACTCTTAAATGTAAGTTATGTTACTGTTTTACATTGTTCGAGCTATTATTGACACAAATAATCTACGGTTTTAATAAATTCTATAAAATTGGATGAAAACTATTGAATCAATAAGATTTGAAAATTATGAATATTAGTAAGCATACGTCCTTTTAAAATTTTCATTTCTTCCGTCAAAATAAAATTCTATATCGTTGATGTAAGAATTTAATATTTGTATTATTTAACAGAAATATATAACATCTGATCGAATTAATATTTAATATTAATAATATTTTGATTATTGAGAAAATATCATAATTCATTACAGAATGTTGTCAATAACGACAGCATGCTGACAAAATTGATGGTACAAGAGTATGATACTATAATCAATATCAATATGAGTCAATAATGTATCCGATGTTTTTAATAAGGAAACGAGGCGATTTTGTAGAAAAAATTAATTGTGTTGAAGAAAAGAAACCTTCAATCAAAGAAAGAAACTTAATTATTTAATTATTGATTGAGCTGAATTATATTTATTCATTGTTGCCTAAATTTCATACAACATTACTGTTACAATTGAAAGTAGAATAAATGAAATAAACATTTAGCTACGTATTCTCTTTTTATAGCTGTTTATTTTTCTTCAATATGAATAGAGTTAATTTTTAAAGTGATTATTTTTGATAGGAGAATAAATTTTGTACAGTAAATTTTTTTGAAAAATTCTTCTATTCAAACACAGTCCCTTACCCGTCATTCGTTTAATATAGACAACGTTATTTGTAGAGTTGAACATAAAGACAGTGCGTCAGATTTGCTATTCTTTATTGAGTAGAATAGATTATCATTTTTCTGCATCAAAAATATTTAAAAAACTTGATGAGCTTAATTGTTGAAGGTCAATGTCTGATGATTTCGTTTTATTGAATATTTTTTCTTTGTTATCGAAGGTCATTTATTCGTGTTAGAAATAAAATGAAATGAATATTATATTTCATGCTATACTCATCCGTGAGTTATCGCTGTCCAATGAAGGTGAGAGAAAAGAACTAAGTGTCTCTATTATTGACAGAAGAACATAGAGGAACGAAAAAAAAGAAATAAAGTAGCAAAAACGACAGAAAGAGAAAAAAGATTGAATTTTACGATAGCGACGAGGGTGAATGGTGTTGAAGCCGAGGTCATATGTATGAAATAACAACAACGAAAACGACAAGCGCCGTTACTTATATGAAAGTAGGTAAAAACAAATGTTGACCAGTAATTCATTTAGAGAATTCAAACCGAATCTTTAATGTTGAATAGGCATAGCTATGTAAACACATTACTCCAATTAGTGTTGTTCGAATGTATTATCCTATCCGATGTACTAAATGTAAAATTAAACATAATTCATAGCTGTAATCATGTTGTACACGTTTGTTGACTTCGATCGTCTATAGAGATGAAACATGATGGATATGTATCAACGGTTTAATCACGAGTAGCGGATGAAGAAGAAGATGAATTGAGTGAGCTCTTAATAATCATATTTTTTGTTCGATCGCAACATAAGGTAAGAACAAAGATTTATATGCTTATAAGGACTAGCTTATGTAAAGAATTCAAAGAACATGACCATAGATTAGCTGTTTCATGAATGTAATGAATAGTAGAACATCATTTTTCATGGGCACTATATTTATTGTGCTCATTTGTTTTCTTTGAGTTTTGATATTCAATACACTTTAAATGGTTTAATCTTTCGTTTGTCTACTGCATCATACTAAAATGTCCGATTATATTTTAATTCTTGGTCTTGAATATAAATATATAATAAGAAATGTTAATTTTTTAGGGACTTTTATTTGTCAGATAGAAAGGAAAATTAGTTGTTACACTCCAAAGAACAATAAATACGAATAATGCCACTTATTTCAATTTTATTTAGTAAGTTATTTCAAATCAGTAGAAAGGATTTGCACAATATTCTTTTCAGCTTGTCTTTTAATTCCTATTTTACATGGTCAATTGGTTATAAAACCATCAGAATCAATAGTACTGCGAGATCAATTTAAATCATTTGTTGCTTCATGTACTGGACTACCAAATACTCGAGTTGGTCTGTGTTATTGTTCACTTTCTATGGAATTGTTATTCTATTCTTTTTTTTATTTCTTAGCCACTTGGAGATCTCCATTACAAATCGACATCAAAGAAGATGATACTGCAAGGTAAGTAAAGCATATTACTGTGGTTTTCTTTTGATTAATTTTGTGTTTTTGTTTAGAGTGACAATCGAACGTCAAACATATGGATTACGATTACGCATAAGGAATTTAACACGAAGTGATCAAGGCATATGGGAATGTTTAGGATCTGATTTAGGTGGGCGACCATTATTACGTACTTTACAAATTAATGTTAAAGGTTCATAGTTGATTGAAGTAAAAATAGTTGTTTTTTTATTGTATTGATTTTTATTTTAGTTCCAATAACATTTTTGGGTGAAATAGTTCAATATGCAGAATTAGACACCGCTGTTCTAATTAAATGTCGTGTATTAGCAAATCCATCAGCTGAAGTATCTTGGTTTAAAGGACGTGACAAAACTCGTTTAGTATCATCAAATTATGAACGAAGTAATGATGGTTTAAAAATTCATCGAGTTTCATTAGCTGATAATGATCTATTCTGGTGTCAAGCTGATGTTCTTGAAACAGGAGAATCCAAAGATTATCCAATTCAAGTTGTTATTGCACGTATGTCGTAAAAAGAAACGTAACTTGAAAAGAATAATCGATTGGTTGTTTGTCTATAAAATATTTCAGAACCTATAACAACACCTAGAATTGTTTGCGCAGCGCCATGCGCTGTTGAAAAGCAAACTGCCACTTTGATTTGCGAAGCAGGCGGAATGCCACCACCACAGTTTCTTTGGTTTTATGGACAAGTTTGTTTTTAAAACTTTTATTATAGAAATATTAAAACTAATAGTTATTCAACAGGATGTATCCATTGTTACAAATGTTATTTCGAAATTTGTTGCTCGTGGAAATACGTTAGTTATTAATTATGTCGATGAAACAGATAATGGTCGATATTCTTGTCAAGTATTTAATGATTATGATAGACGTGGACAACGAGCAGAATATATGCTTAATGTTATTGGTAACATAATAGCATGGTTGCATATGAATGTGTATAATGATTTTCATATTTTCTAGTTCCACCTCGTCTTGCGCCTATTTCTCCGATAAAAATCAATTTTGATGAAAATACTCCACCACAACGAGTAGTTTTTACATGTCGCGTTTTGCGTGGTTCAGCAGAAAGTCTCAGTTTGGAATGGGTTCTTAATGATGGTACTTCTCTATTAGTAAGTTTGGCGTAGAATAAGAAAATTTTGTTTACATTTTTATTATGTTTGTTTTTTGATAGCCAATCAATGGAATATCGATTGATATCAGTCAATTGGCATTGAATCGTTTTATTGAATTACGTTTTGATCCGGTACGCCGTGAGCATCACGGAAATTATACGTGTGTAGCAAAAAACCTTGCAGATATTACATCGACAGTTGCTAATCTTTTTGTTGAATGTAATTAAAACTATTCAGATAATTCTTCTCAATTACGTTTATCTATTTTGATTTTTAGATAAACCTATTTTTATGGGACCACATAAACCAGTTATATTCAGTGTTCCGAACTATCGCGGTGAGAACATCTATCTATTGGTAGCAGACAAATTGTATTGCTATGTTTTATGTTTTTGCTTGTTTTTAGCAATTATGAAATGTCAATTTGATAGTTATCCTCCTCCAACCATACAATGGGCTAGAATAGTTCGAAGATTAAAAGGACTTGATGATGGTCATATACTTGTACAGGATAATGATCCACAAGTTATCGATATATTGACTAGACAAATTGGTCCAACTATCTATGAAACACAATTAACAGTGAGTTTCTTTAGTTCTTGATTGAATTTGTTTTTCATCTAGTAATTTTTATTTAGTATAATCCGTTGGAACAAGACTTTGACTTAACTTTTGAATGTCGTGCTATCAATCCTCGAATTGGGCGATATTCAATGAATATGCGGCGTGCTGAACCGCCACAACAAGTTCGTGTCGTTGAAGTTAAACCAAAATCGAATTCCATTCAATTAAATATTCAACCACCATTGGAAATAGGTGGCTTACCTTTACTTGAATATTTAGTTCGATATGAGCAAATTGGTGTCCCTAATTCACTTAAAACACACACTTTTCCGGGTATAAAACGTAAAAAAAGGATTCCTATTATTATTTATTACTCATGAATTCTAGCTATACCAAATGAGCCACAATCTCTTCTTATTGAATCTCTTCAGCCGTCAATTTTATATCGAATGCAAATCATGGCAAAATCTCGTGCTGGAGAAGGTGTTCTCTCTATACCTTATCAGTTGAAAACACTCGATCGACAAGTTCCACAATTTAAAATTCTTTCGTCAGATCTGTCATGTCTCGATGATCAATCTTGTTTAATTAAATGGGTCATTGAATCCGATGGTGGTTCACCTATTTCACGAGCTGAAATATCTTATACTAAAGTAGGTCTATTGAACTCTGTAAAACATAGAAAAAACTAGTTTCAGTCACGTTAAAACTGAGATCTGAAACAATATTAAACAATGGTTCTATCCGAAAATACAATAAAAATCATTGAATATACGTATGTCTACTAAATATCTTTTATATTTGCTAGTTTGTATTATGAAATATATGCACGATTCAATAGTACAAATGACTACCAGAGCTATTTCTATTCAATACTTCAGACAAACAATTGTATTTTTTTTCTATCAAACTACTGAATTTAAAATACTAAAAAAAGTATCTGCATACCATTAGAACATCCTTATTTTTCAATGCTTGTGTCTTCTCAATTTTTCAACATAAAAAATATGACCTATGTAGAATATCAGATATTTCAGTAACAATAGATCAAATGCCTGATGGATACCTTCAAGATATCTATACGTATACAAAGACAACTTACAACAGAGTAATAAATAGATTAAATATCAATGAAAAATCGGTAGTACGGTTATATTTTTGATTGTCTGAAATCAGTATTTCCATTAGTTTCACTTGTCGTTCTCGTATTCCGAATATCTTATAATTCAGTTAAAAGAAAATATTGTATCGTATGCTTTTTCTATTTCTAGTCATTTAGTATCAACGGAATGGAGCAATGGAGTCCCGCTATTCAAATCGAACCATTGACCAATGAATTTGAATTAAAAGGTCTTCAACCAGATGCGAACTATATTATTAGAGTTCGTTTACTCAACGAAGCTGGCGTTGGTGAACAGAAAATCTCAAAGAGAACTAGTAAATCACGTATAGGTAAATTAGAAATTATGATTCATTTATTTGATCGTATTAATGTATTCTTTCTTGCAGACAGAGATTTGGCTTATAGATCAAGTGCATCTTTTCATTTTCGTATAGAAGCATTGAGTTTTCTAGTTGTAGTGTCTGTTGTAGTCATTTTTATCAGATAAAATATAGAATCAATAATATTCATTTGATTATGCATTTCATTGTAGATCCTCGTTCAAATTTGTCTGATAAAAGACCTAAGAATCGATTTCCAAGTCAATGGATTATTATTGGGATAGCATCGAGTATTGTTGTCGTTCTTACTATGAGTATTGTGCTCTTTATCGTCATTCGAAACCGATCTAAATACAATCAAAATCAAAACCATGACAAAGCATCTAATACGGTTTCAATATCTTCGAGGTTAGACGTTATTATTAATTTCATTTTATTTGTATTCCTTCTTTTTTCAATTTTAGAAGAAGCAAAAATGTTGAACAGTAAACATTATTAAAATGTCAAATAATGATTATACGAATCTTTTTTGTTTTTATTTAGATCTAATGTAGAATTTCGTAAGCCATTGCGTGATGATGAAAGATAATGCAAAAAATTATTTTATATTGAAGAAAATGCTGTGCTTATATTTTTGATATTGCTCTACAAAGATTTTTCACTGGTGCTTTTTCTTTGTTCTAGTTTCGATTGTTTAATTTTAATCGAGAATTATTTTGTATATTTCTAATTAAAAATTCTATGTCACATTAAATAGAATCTATAAATATGATTTTACATAGCCACTATAGAAAGAAACATAATTGAATACTAGTTTACATTACTGATCAATTTCTTGTAAAACAAAATTCCAATCACATACACAGTTGTCATTATTTTTACTTATTATTATGGGAACTCAATCTATTTGTTGCTATTGAATAGATGATGATGAAAATAACACAAGCTCATCTCAAATAACAATAATATTTGCTCCTAAATTTTAAAAATACCATTGAAATTTAGCGTGGCTGTTATAAACGAATACTGTTTTGATTGTGGCAATAAGTCAAGAAATAAATGTCTGCTATAAAAATGTTTGACATATACAAAGTCAAATTAGAACAGTTATGAAAAGGTGTCCATCTTTTCTCTAGTGCATATAACTGAGTAATTTTTATACTGTTATCTCGTAAATAATGCCTCTCAATTAGGTCTCCGAATGGGGCAAGTCATACAATCACAATATTCTCTTAAAATCTAGAACTAACTTCGATGGCTTGTTTTAATTCAATCAAGTCAGTTTCCTCTATGTACATGTTTATATCAGTTTATTTAACATTATATTTTTTTAGACAAATTACATAATTATGTTCTGCTGATTTCATCCAAAATGAAATTGCAAATCGAGGATATCAAGATCGTAACAAATTTCCACAAATACAACAGAAAATTCAGTGGATTCAGTACAACTTGAATTTACTGAATTCCGTCCGAACTTATCTTGCACCTTTGCTCCTAGAGAATTTCACTTTCATGTGTTTAAGGATTAAATAATAATAATAACGCTTCTTCTTCAGCACATTTTCTATCATGAATTTGTAGCTCTTTTTATCGGTTTTTGTTAGCTTTCAGCAATGCTAAGAATTACTAAAGATTTTTACCTATAGTATGATATAGTCTAGTAAATTTCTTTAGAGCCTTACATCTGATTTTTTTACCTGGGTTTAGAAAAAAAAGGATGCTGAAAATTGATTTGAACTAAAACTTCTTTATAGCCATAGTCATGTGTCTTTGTTCATACAATGGTTAACTACCCAGGTCGATCAAAACGGAACTCCGTTTCGGACCGTATTAATGGGCGCAGTATTACGGACCGTAATGCTGTTAGTTACGGGTCAAATACGGCCGTAAACCGAGACTGGTTTGGAGCACCGTAAAACGGGGAGCCATATACTGTGAAATCTTGACCGTATACGACGCAAATGTAAGCATCGTACGGTCCG